AGACTACGATTATTTGGGATGCACATACCGGTGAAGCCAAGCAACAGTTTCCCTTTCATTCGGGTAAATCTTCACAATTTACATGAGAACTGGTGCTTCTGTTTTTCTAATTAAACTTTTAAAAGCATATAATTCATTTAAAATCTTGAAATATCAAATATCGGTCTTGTTACTAATCCTTTGAGGAGTTGATGTTCCATGACTTTCAGATTGTTAATTGTCAGGGGATCATCAAACGTTTTCTGTGAAATGTACCATTAAAAAATCATTTGCAGCCTAGTGCAATTAGGTTGGTATTATCTAATGGTAGGAACATAGATCTTTGAATCAGGAGGTCTAAGTTTGAATGGCAATTCCACCCCACTTAACAAGCTTTAAGACTGAGCAAGTCATTTAACCTTTCTGAGCCTCATTTTCTCAATAAATGAAGGATAATAATTATACCTATTTGTTAGGATAAAACTAATGTATATAATACAACTTTATAAACTCATACAAATTTAGGTGTTATTTCTCATTTTGGACTCCTGTTTCTACATCAGTCCTCCTGTGCACATGAACTTAAAAAAATAGGCTTTCCCAGCATTGTTGGAACTTTGGTACTTTAAATGGATTTCTCTTTTAAAAAATAATTTGATACTTAAATACAATAATTCTGCCCCCCTCCCAGTAGTGTGCTCCTTTATCCTTGATACAGAGCCATGCATGCGCTATACAACCTGATGGGGTAGAGACAGCTGGATTTTAGTACCTGCTCTCTTCTCAGGCTGTTCTCAGGGAGTTTCCTGTTGATCATTATTAAACTAGAACAAGATGCCTAATAACTGCAGTTGACCCTTGAACAACACAGGTTTGAACTGTGCAGGTCCACTTACATATGTGGCTTTTTTTTTCAATAAATACAACTGCAATACTGTAAGTTTATTTTCTTTTTTATTATTTTCTGTAGCTTTATTATATGAATACAGTATAAAATTCATATAACATACAAAATATGTGTTAATCGAGTGTTTCTGTTCATGGTAAGGCTTTCAGTCAACAATAAGCTATTACTAGTTAAGTTTTGGGGGAATCAGAAGTTCAGTGCGGGATTTCAGCTGCATGTGAGAGGGCCTAACCCCTGTGCTGCTCAGGAGTCAGCTAAGTTAGAACAGTAGGACTACTTGATTTCACTGCTTCTTCAAAGATTTTGTTACAGTTGGGAAGAGTTTTGATTTGAAAGCTGACTAAATTTAACTGGTTATTTTCAAATTTTTGGTAACATCCTTTTTCACAAATGGCCAGTGGCACAGTATCACCTTTAAAATTGAAGCAACTTCTGACATTCTGGCTTTTTGTCTTTTTGTATTTAGTGTGAATAAACAAGCCAAATAAGGTACAAAATGACTACTGTGTAGTATCTGGGTAACGTAATTGTGCAAGCATCTTGTTAAACAGTTCAGCTTGATTAAGGCTTACCACATTAATAAGCATTTACACATTAGCTGACCTGTTTTACTTCCACCTTTGTTTCTAGTCCTTACCCATATAGATTTCTCTTAGGCCTCTGGCTCTTCCACCCAAAAGTTTCTCCTAACTGCTAGGAGTAATGCAAATTCGAAATAAGTTAGCTATATAACGGAAACCACCTTTGTGTAAGAGATGGTGCTCTTTGTATACATGATCCCATTTAGTCCTGACTACAACCTGATGAGGTCGGTGGTATTGAAGTAATTTTACAAGTAAATAAGCTTTTTTTTCACCTAGGATATTCTTTCTTGCCATGCTTTTTGTTTTTTTAAAATAGCTTTATTGAAGTATAATTGTCATAAAATGGGCTATACCTGTTTAAATTGTACAAATTGATATGTTTTGACACGTATATACCATCAAAACTATCACCACACTGCAGACAACGAATACACCTGCTAGCTTCAGAAGTTTCCTCCTGCCCCTTTGTGATCTCTCCCCTTCATCCCTGGACAGCCACCCATGGTCTTTCCACACCAGAAATTAGTTTACATTATGTAAATGGAATCATACTTTTTTGGTCTGGCTTCTTTCACTCTGAGAAATAATTTTGCATTTGCTTCAATTGTTGAGTAGTATTTCATTATGTGGATACACCACAGTTTGTTTATCCATTCACCTGTTAAAGCAAATTTGGGTTGTTTCCATTTTGGGGGGCTATTATAAATAAAACTGCTATCAATATTCATGTATAAGTCTTTGCGTGGACTTGCACTTTCATTTCTCCCGTGCAAATGTCTAAGAATAGAATAGCTAGATTACATGGGAGGTATATGTTTAACTTGTTAATAAACTGCCGAGCTGTTTTTCCAAAGCTTACATTTTCCATACTGATGGACATTTTCAGCAACAGTGGATATTCTAGTCCCTCCATGTCCTTGCCAGCACTTGATAAGTGGTCAGTGTCATTAACTGGAGCCACTCTAATAAGTGGGTATTAATATCCCATTGTGGTTTAATTTGCATTTCCTAATAACCAGTGACGTTAGAGCATCCTGTCACGTGCTGTAGATTTTACTTGGTGAAATATCGGATCAGATCTTTGGATCTTTAATTTACTGTTTTCTTCTGTTCTTTATGTATTCCGGATACAAGTTAATCAGGTATTTACAAATGCTGTCTTATAGTCTCTGGCTCGTCTTTGCATTGTTTTAACAGTATCCCTCTGTGTCAACTCTATTTCAAAGAAAACAAAACAAAACAACAATATCCCTCGAAGATCAGGAGTTATTAATGTTGATGAGTTCCATAAATTATTTATTTGTTCTTTTATGTGTCATGCTTTCAGTGTCAACCTAATTTGCTCTTGTTTTCTATTTGCTTAATGTGGAAGTTGAGGTCACTGATTTGAGACCTTTCTGCTTTTCTAATATGGATATTTAGTGCTATAAATTTACTTCTGATTACTACTAAGTGACATGTCCTTGTGCGTGGCTCTCTAGCTCTCTCTTTTCCTGTAATCTGTCTTATAAATTCCAGCTGCCTTAGTCTCCCTAGATTCTTAGCTTTGTCTCTTCATTCAGGAAATTTATTGATCTCTGCCTAGAGATTCCTCTTCCCTATGCCAAGACCTGGACTTTTTCCCCCCCCAGATTGTAAGCTTGGGCAGTTGTAAAAGGTCACATTGATGGTTGGTTCCCATTTTCTCAGGAACCGCTGTCTTTTATTACCTGGTGTCTGTTGTCTTGAATTATTATCTCATATATTTTGTAAGTTTTCTTGTTTTTTTTTCGGCAGGAGGTAAATTTGGTCCCTACTACTCCCATCTTGACCAGAAATGGAAGTCTACCATGCTTTTTAAATTACTATATTTTAATTGCTGTGCTAAATTGTCTCCCGTATACACTCTTGCATAAAGCATAAATCATGATTACAGATGAGTTACAATAAGTGGCCATTTCATACCCATTTGTATGGCTAGAAGAAGTAATGTTCATGAGGATATGGAGAAATTAGGCCCTATACTTCGTTAGTAGGTTTGTAAAATGGTACAGTCACTCACTGTGGAAAAACAGTAGGACAGGTCCTCAAAAAGCTAACCATAGAATTACCATATTATGATCCAGCAATTCTACACGTAGGTATACATCCCAAAGACTTGAAAGCAGGGACTTGAACAGATTCTTGTCAGTGTTCATAGCAGCATTATCCACAGTGGCCAAAAGGGGGAAACAGCCCAGTGTCCATCAATGGACAAATGGATAAACAAAATGTGGTCTACACGTACAGTGGATTATTATCCAGCCATGAAGAGGAATGAAGTTCTGACACATGCTGCAACATTTAGTGAACCTTATATTCATTATGCTAAGTGAAATAAAGCACACAAAGGGACAAATAGTATAATTTTACTTATTAACTATCTAGAACAGGCACATTCGTAGAGACAAAGTAAAGATTAGAGGTTCTCAGGAGTGGGGGAAGGGGGAAATGGGGAGTTATTGCTTAATGGCTGCAGAGTTTCTATTGGGGGTGATGAAAAAGTGTGAAAATAGTGATGGTTGCATAATTAATACCACTGATTGTACACTTAATAAAATGACATTTTATGTTATATATGACCACAGTATTTAAAAATTAATAATAAAATATGTCCAAACCCATTGAAGTGTACACTTTAAATGGATGAATTTTATAGTATGTGATTTATATTTCAGTGAAGTGGTTTCCAAAAAAATGCAGATGAGTAATAAATGTCTTTCTCTCCTTACTGCATAGGTTCGGTTCATTTGTTACCTTTTTAAATTATGAAGGATGGAGGTTTTAAATTACCCTAGGCAAATTAACTTTTTTTAGTCTTTTTTTATCGTGTATAAAATGAGATCAGTAATAGCGAACACACCTCTTACATATCACTTACATAAAAGTGCATTTTGTTGTGAGATGTATTTCTTTTTCTTTTTTTTTTTTTAAGTTTATTTATTAAGTAATCTCTACACCCATCTTGGGGCTTGAACTCAGAACCCCAAGATCAAGAGTCTTGTGCTTTTCCAACTGAGCCAGCCCATAGAGATGTATTTCTTTCCTAAAGAATTTGCATCACCTAGACTCTTTTTATTTTAGGAGTAAGCAAAAAGTAAGGACGCAGGTATTCTTAGATTACACCAGTTTTGTAACCCTTGTATTTTATGAGCCAGGTGTATCACAAAGCATAAATCATACAACTCATGTTGCAGCATTCCCCAACTTCCCCCAGTTAGCTTTACTTGGTCCTACGGTTTTGTTTTGTTCTGAACCTAATGGTGTATTTGTTTGAATGCCATTTCTTACTTTCTCAGCCTCCCATCTCCTGTTTTGCAGACAGCTCTGCATCACATTAACATCCTGATGCATCATGACAGATTCTTGGCATTCTTTGTAGCATTTTATTATACTTTCAATTGTTTTCTAAGTTTATTAGATTTTTCAGGCTTTTTCCCCCACCACCTAACACTAGAACCATTTATTTATCAAAGAAACATTTTATTAAAATTATTTTTGGAATGATATCTTATGTAATAGTATTTAATGTCAAAATGAAAGTGTAGTAGGTATTGAGTCAGATTCCAGGCACAAAAACAGAATCTAAACCAGGTTGTCCAAGAAGGGGAACTTAGTACAAGGAAATAGTTGCAGAGGTGTTGAAAGAATGAAAACCAGAGGACTCTCAGGTACCCCGGAGTGTAAGAACTGCAGAAAACCTAAGACTATAGAGAAGGCAGGATCCCTCTTGCCAGTGGGAATTAGAAGGGGAGAAACAAGAACTGCCTGGCAAGAACAGGCACCTTGGAGTAACTGTTGCCACTGCCAGACACCCAGCCTTAAAAGAGAGATGAGAGCAAAATTGCCTGTCTTCTCTGTTTCTCTTGACCTTGGGCTCTCGACAGTGTCTCCCACTGTATGAATCCATCTGGAAACCAGTAGGCACAGGAACCTGGGATATGTAATTTGCAGGAGTCCACCCACTGTGTGTAGAGCATAGCAAGACAGAGTGTGGTAAGGAATGGCCCTGAGAACAAGCAGACAATGAACAGGACAGTCATCGACATGCATCTAAGATGATGCGATGTGTACACACAGCAGTAGAGTTCATACATAATGCTCATCAAAGTTGGCCTGTGCTTTTGTTTACTGGCTGATTTAAGTTGGATACTCCCAGAAGCAGACCTGGAGCCAAGCATTTGAGTGACGTGATTTATTAAGGAAACACTCTCAGGAGAAACAAGTGAGGAATTGTAGGGATTAGGATGGAGAAGAGGGCCCAGCCTCAACCTGATCCAGGCAGGGCTTTGGAGTGTTTATTACACGTTGGAGTTTTTCTCATCTTGAACCACACGCTAGATTTTTGAATCTCTCCCTCTTTCCCCCAAACCCAACTACATACCACCAGCCATTGGGTACTAGCCATTTTTGGCTGGGGTGGGGGGGTGGGTGGCGGTGTTGGAGACAGCAGCAGAACAAGGCAATTCTCTGAAGAAGTTTACCCTGGGAGCCCTTAGCACCAAAACACTCAGAAACTGGGAATCCGTCACAGAGCACAGGTAAAGAGGGTCTGCAAAGGAGGGAGCGTGCAGACACCTCTGAAGGCCTGTTGCCTACGAAGGTAGTAGAATACAGCCTGCTCTTCACTCTGCTCGCTTGGCTTATCAGTCTAACGGTGCTCAGAATACCTATTTGTAATATGCTCAGTGTGAAAACAGCCAGTTACTATGATGGATACATAACAATGAGGAAGTGGTTTGTTTTTTCTTTCCCATACACACAAGTTCTGACCTCCTTCATTAAATGCTTTATATCTCTAATAATGGGAATATACAGCTTCACTTTAACTTCTTGTCTCCCCCTTGTCTCTTAGTGTTTGCTCTGAATGCTAACCTTGTTCTGCAGAGGGCCAGAACGTCCATTTTTCGGCTTGATAAGCTGCAGGATCTCTGTTGGAGCCAGTTTGGTCTGCCCTCGTAGTGCAAAACAGCCATGATACGTGGCCGAACGAACTTGTCTATGTTTTAATGAAATTTTATTATAAGGACACTAAAATCTGAGTTTTGTATGATGTTCACATTCATAGGTCTTCTTTTGGTCCTGTGTTGTCTTTTGATCCTCACCCCCAGCCAAATGAAACGCAAAAACTACCCTTGGCTAATGGGCCATCGCGTCCACACTGCTCAAAATCCGGTGCTGTGTGCTCTGTTGCCTAACCCAGTTACTTGCTGCCACTGCGTTAATCTGCATTACTAATTAGAGAGCCTTTGCACCTTGCGGCAGGGGGAGATGAAAAGACAGACTCTCCAGTCATACCAGAGCTAAAGTAACTATTAATAGCCAGCTTTTGGGTGTCTGAGGTTTTAAATTCAGTGACGTAGGTTTTAAGTGATATTTGACAAGAATCAGAAGAAAATGTATTTGCGATCATCTGCAATATTCCACTTATCAGATAGGTGGATTGGAAATTATTCAGCGTAACATTTGTCTAACTTGTCATTTACAAAGTCCTTTTCACACGCACCATCTTGCTTGATCTTCACAGTATCCTTGTGTATTAAGCTTAAAGGTTTTATCCCCTTTTTTTTAGATGAGGAAAATAGCATGAGAGGTTAAATGACTTGCTTGGGGCCCAGTGGTTAGGGAGTGGCAGAACCAAGCTCCCTTGTCCATTGAACACTCAAGAGAATTTTAGAAATAAAAGGAAGTATAACATCACTTTTAAAGGTTTACAAATGCGATACCAAGAATGCAGTGCTAGTCATTCATAGAGGAAGCTCTCGGGAAGCCTAGTCACCTGCGTTACTTTCTGTTAGGCTGTGTCTCACATAGAGACAACTGAACGGAAATTTAATATTTGTGATATTTAGATGCCTTCATTTTTAAAAATTCTAAAAATTATAAAGTAAAATGCTTAAGTTTCTGTTACCACACTTAACGTCCGAGCATGGTTTAAAACTAAAGCTCCTAGCTTTCAGTACATGTGGAATGAATGCAAACCTAGCCCTTTTTCCTTTTCAGCACCAGCACTGGATGTTGATTGGCAGAGCAACAACACCTTTGCTTCTTGTAGTACAGATATGTGCATTCATGTCTGTAAACTAGGACAAGACAGACCTATTAAAACATTCCAGGGACACACGGTGAGTAGCCTTCCCCTCCTTTTAAAGTGGTTATGATGAATAAGTAATACTACAGAGTGGTTTGGAAGTATGTATGTTTTAGATCCAAAGAGCAATCCAGTCTATAAAATGAAAATGTGAATATTTACTGTTATTTTTAGAATGAAGTAAATGCTATCAAATGGGACCCAACTGGCAATCTTCTGGCCTCCTGTTCTGATGACATGACTTTGAAGGTAATTCGAATAGTGGGGAGACATGCAGTGGAGGTGTCACCAAGAATGGCTGCTCTGGCCATTTTTAGATCATTTAGAATGTCTCTTATAGTTCCTTGAATGCTTAAACCTGGGTCAGGATTTAACTCTACTTTTTAATAGTGAATCATTGTTTTTTATATTTTATTTTGTAAAGTATTTCAAGTGTTTAAATACAGCAAATAAATTCTACTTAAAAGAGTGTTTGATAGGAATTGTGGTGCTAAGAAACCTGCTGTCTTAACTTGTCTTCACTTCTAGAAGGTCATATACTGGTGCAATTAAAGTTTATTTGCACATGTAAAAATTTGACTAATAAGTAACAGATCTTTGTAGCATTCGTGGATTTTGCTGAAATTCTGTGAATTGTATAAATTTGATTTTGTGGTGTGAATGTATATCATCCTTGCTGGGAAGCTGATCTTATAGCAGAGAATGCTTAGTTGGTGAGTGAGCCTTGCTGACATCCCAGCATCAGCAGCTCGACATGGGTTTATGTTTTTCTTGTCAGTGTGACTAAAAGCAAAGCTAACACCTTGCACCTGTGCACATCACATTTAGAGAAAAAAAGCATTTTGAGGTAAAGAACAACCTAATACAAATCTCCACTATTAATGAAGCTTTGAGTCCTTTCCTGCAACATAGTAACTCTCCTGAAAATAATTTTATCCTTGACTCTGCAATGCCCACGACTGCGGATGTGGTGACCCTTAAGATGCAGGAATCATGAGGGAAAACTGCTTTTCCTCCTGTGAACAGACTAAATGTAATCTTGGTAACCTGGTGAGGTTTTTCCCTTAAATACCTGCTGGGTTTTTAGTCATTCAGTTTTCTCAAGCCTGGGCTCCCTTGCAGACATTGCTAGTAAAAAGGCTTTTCTTAATGCTTTTGTCTGAGTTTACTTTGCATGCACGTGCATTGCAGTCATAAAATGAAAGCCTTGTGGAACAGAGAATGGCACGTATGTGGAGTTGAAAGGCCAGTGGCTGGGGAGTCTACTGAGCAGTTAGAGAAGTTTGGATTAGAAAGTGTTAGCTTTTTGTCCTAACAATAATGAAAGGTCAGAGTTTTAAAGGAGAAACGAGATGGGTCGATATTGTGTAGTGGAGCCAAATTCTGAGAACAAGGAACAGGAGTCAGAAGATCATGCAAAACCTGAACAGTGATTTGAGCCAGGCAGGTGGAGGTGCTGGGTGGGCCTGGTGCTCCAAGAAGAACTCTACCCTTGGCATAAACATTTGGGACTTCTCTGCAGGTGGATGGTCATTCAGAGCCACAGACTTGGATGAAGTTGTGTAGGGAGAAAGGACAGAGTAAGGAATGAGGGGAACCTTAGAAATAGAAAGTCTTAAGAACTTAACTCCCAATAATTACCAGCTCAAGAGGAACAAGCTTCCAAAAGGAAACTGAGGAGGAATGACCCAAAGGGAGGGAGAGTGTTCAGAGAAGAATGTTTCAAGGGAGGGTGATGGATAGGAGTGGTTAACAGTGGCAATGCTATTGAAAGGTCAAATGAAATAAATTTTGAAACATATTTTGGGGGCTTATTTACATGGAATTATAAATGTCTAGGATCCAAAAACATTATGGGTTTGCTTCATTCTCTCTTATTAGGTACATTGCAGACATGTGAAACACACCTAATTTTTGTGAGCTCTTTTTGTTGTTGTTGGCAGTTGGGTTTTTATGTGTGTTTGTGTTTGGCAAGATTTACTCCCATGTCTTTATTGAATGATTTTGCCAGAAGTACTCTCAGTGTAGGTTTCTTTACCTCTGTACACATAGGTTTTCAACTCAAGCAAGGCTAATTATTCTCTACTCATCATTTTAACCTTATTGCTTTGTTATTTTTCATGGTTCTGTATGAGTCATTTTCTAAACTTTTATTATGGTAACAAAACTTAACATGAGATCTTTTTAATCAGGCTTTTAAGTGTACGGCACAGTATTGTTATCTATGGGCACAGTATTGTAGATTTGTAGAGATGAAATTTGTTGTTTAGCTGGTCCCCCTCTGCTCTTCCCCTCAGCCTCTGGCAGCTACCATTCTTTTCTTGGCTTCTGTGAATTTGACTCTTCTAGATACCGCATATAAATGGAACCATGCAGTATTTGTCCTTAAGTTCAGGAATTCCTTTTTTTTAAGGCTGAATGATTAATACTCCATTGTATATAATACCACATTTTCTTTATCCATTCATCCATTGATGGACACTTGGGTTGTTTCCATATCTTAACTTTTGTGACTAATGCTGCAATGAACAGGGAGTGCAAATACATTTTTAAGACCCTGATTTCAGTTCTTTTGGATAAATACGCAGAGGTGGGATTGCTGGATAATATGAAAGTTCTGTTTTTATTTTTTTGAATATCCTCCCTACTGTTTTTCATAGCACCTATCATTTTGCATTCCCACCAACAGTGTACTACAAGTGGTCTAATTTCTCCACGTCCTTGTGAACATTTATTGTCTTTTTTATTTTATAATAAAATCCTAATAGATGTGAAATGATATCTGTAGTTTTTATTTGCATTTACCTTATGGCTAGTGACATTGAGCATCTTTTCATATACCCGTTGGCCATTTGTATATCTTCTTAGAAGAAGGGTCTGTTCAAGTCATTTGCCCATTTTTAAATTGGATTATTAGGGTTTTTGCTATTGAGTTGTAGGAGTTCCTCATATATTTTCAAAATTAACCTTTTATTTATAGATACATGGTTTGCATATTTTTTCTCCCATTCTGTCATTTGTCTCTTTATTGTTCCCTTTGCTGTACAGAGGCTTTTTAATTTTATATAGTCCCATTTGGCTTTTTGGTTTTGTTTTTGTTGCCTGTGTTTTAGTGTCATACAGGAATATATTATTTGCACGTTGCTTATCTATTTGCCCTTCTCTGTTACAAAATATTTTCTGATTCTAAATCCTAAGAAGAATTTGTAATCTACATCTTTTATTTAAGGGACAGTGTTAAAACTAATGCCTTAAACATTTTAGGATCATTACCCGGGGGATTTACTAATATTGAAGTTTGTACCATCTGAAGCTCTCAGAGTTAATCTTAGAACTACAGCTAATTCAATCTTGAAGCCTCAGAATAGTGAACATTTGGAAAGGACTTCAAGCTAATTTGTCATTTTTAAAAGATAAATATATTCTACATTTTAATTTCTTTGCAAATATTCCGTTGATCTGTAATCATTGTTCTGGTTATACTGCTGATATTTTAGATTGGCCCAGTAGTATTTTTAAATGTATCCTTTGTATGGGAAAATATAATTACATATGTTTTTCTTTTTTGCTCAGATATGGAGTATGAAACAAGACAATTGTGTCCATGATTTGCAAGCACATAATAAAGAAATTTATACTATCAAATGGAGTCCAACAGGGCCAGGGACAAATAATCCAAATGCCAACCTTATGTTAGCAAGGTAATATTTATGTTTCACTCTTCCTTTTATGAGTCTTCCACACAAAAAGCTTCTAATAAATAACGACAGAGTTAGGAAAGATTCCATGAAATGGGAATGTATCCTGCAAAGATTGTTTTTTTGATGGGAACATTTAAACTTGGAGTTTATTCTTATTTCAGGCCATAATGGATTTTTATATCTGGAGTTATCAAATATTTACTGATGATATCAGATATTGATTAAAACTCAAGTAATTGAGGCATAGTGCAATAAAGTTTTTTCAGCATTAAAAAAAATAAAAATATAGTCAATACATTGTTCAGAACCATGGATCAGTCAATATAAAAGAATTATTTAAAGAGCAAAGGAATACAGTGAATTTAGCTCATTTTGTTTTTTCAATTCAGGGACTCGGAGATGCCCTTAAAGTTCCTTTTCTCCTATATAGCTTTGCTTCCAGAACACTTGCTTCCTAACAGCCCAATCTGTGTCTCATAAGGAATTTGTGGCTAGCTACTAGAAATGGCTGGACATTATAGATTGGGGGTGGGGCATGGGAGTATTTCATTACTTATAAAGTCAATTTTGTTGCCTCCTTTGTCAGTGCATCCTTCGATTCTACTGTTAGATTATGGGACGTAGACCGAGGAATTTGCATCCATACTTTGACAAAACACCAAGAGCCTGTGTACAGTGTGGCTTTCAGTCCTGATGGCAGGTACCTGGCAAGTGGTTCTTTTGATAAATGTGTGCACATCTGGAACACACAGGTATGTCTCAGTTATTTAAATCATCACCTGCTTTAATAGTTACTGAGAAGCACTTGCCTATATAAATTCTCTTTTCTCTTTTGGTTGTCATTCCTTTATGACATTAGTTCAATCCTTAGTTTTTAAATGAGTACTTTTTTTTAATTTACAAAGACTGAAGCCAGTTGAAGTTAATATTTTCCTAATGTAGGCCAGAATTTACAAATAAATTTAGATTCTTGTCTTATTTTTTTTTCAAGTTGGCTGACCTAAAATGTGAGAGTTTAAGATGCATGTTTAGATAAATGATGTAGTTTCTTTATTTTCTGAAAGACTTGTTTTTGAAGGAGCTATATATGAGCAATTAATAAAATGTACTAAAGGACAAGATTTTATGGCTGAACACAGTGATTTATCAGGAATAAACTTAAAACTATACTACCTTTGTAGGGACAGTAGTATAGAGAGATCCTTTCCTAAAAATGGAGAAAACAGCCAGTTGCTGTAATTTGTTTCATCTTCTCAACCTTTTTAGTGTTTATGCTCCACGTACTGTTTTTTTAGTAGCAGTCGCTTGACTCCCCCGCCCCATCAGTGATCACGTCTTAGGTGGTCGTAGTACACCCATAATCAGTTACTGTGAGCTCTTTCTTTTTGTGCAGCTGATCATCATAGTTGGTCAGACTGTTCTGCATAAAGCATCATTTTCAAGTATCATTCAAATGGTCCCCTCTAAACACTGAAAAGGTATCCACTGGGAAGTCTTAGAGCTCCCATTTTCTTCTTGATCCCCTACAAGTAACTATTAACTTCTCTTTCATTCTTCCTGACATTTTTTGTGAATAGAAGTTTTAACACTGTCATTTTTATACTCACTGTTTTATTTTTTAATTTATATTTTTAACCCCCTTGGAATTGATTTTTATATGTATAATCTGAGGTAGAGGTCTAATTTTATATTTCTAATGGATAGCCAGTTGTTTCAACACTATATACCCCTTTGCTGTCTCATAATGCCACTTCTTTCATATACCACATTCTTATTGTGGTTTATTTATGGATTCTCTTGTACCGCATTGATAGACATTTGTATATACCTGCATCATTAGCATAGTTTTAATAACTAACTTTATAGATCCCCCCTCATTAAGTCTTTTTTCTCCCTTCATTAAAGTTTTATGATTTCTTTATGAAGATCTTTTTTCTTAATTTATTCTGAAGTGCCTTATGGATATTATTGTTAGCTATGAATGACGTCTTTTTAAAAATACATCCCTTTTACTTACTGGTTGTTGCTTGTGTTTGGAACATTACAAATTTTGGCATAATGAAACTGAATCCATCCACCTCTCTGAGCTCTCTTACTAGTTTTAATAGTTTAGGTTTCCCCTTGACTTCCCTTTAATCTTTTTGTTATGATTGAATAGCAGAGACTTTCTAAATATAATCTATAGATAATCTGCCTGTTGTATACATTTTCAGTCACTTATTTAACTCCGTTTGGGTATAGAAATGTAGGATTCTAATGGAGGATACTGGTAGGCTCTTAGGGGCATTTGAGCAACTATCCATGCTATTTAGATGTATCACTATTGTGTTATCAAAAAATACCATTTTACTTTTTTAAGTTTGAAAATCGTAAGATGCATCTAGTGAGTTTTTAGTGCAGTCATTGCCTTTTTGTCATATATAAATCTAGTTTTTTCTTTCCTCATTTGGATTATCATCCATATGATATGTTACCTAAGCATTTCACAGGTCAGTTGTTGAAGTCTGGTCTGAACATATATATACAGATTTGAGTACTGCTGTTAATCCACTGATTTTTGTTAGTGTTATAGCTCTAGCTTGTTGACCATGCTATTTTGGTTCAATTATAGCCTAATTTGAGCTTAGAAATTGGTAAGTGCTTTGGAAAGAAAGTTGGTTTTTTTAAACCCCAGAGCTTACTGTCCTGTAGATTTTTACTTTCCTGTACATCAACAGATTTTAGATTTTGTTGGTGCCACTCCTTTCTCCTAATTAACCATGGAAATACACTCACAACCCACTATACTCACACTTCATTAATGTTTTAAATTGTAAGAAACTTTAGGTGGGGGGAAGAAAACAGTTGAACCTTTCTGATGTGATCAGCTGTAGCAGTGCACCTATGGTTTCTGCAGTATTAGCCGAATGACTTTGAAGAGGAAAGCAAGGGCAAAGAGAGTTCTGGCTTAGTAAGTAAATTAGGATTGGCTGTCCGAGGAGGTATTTACAATGTACATGTCTTGCTGCCATGTTTTTAGGTAGATCTGCTACCTCTAGTTTGACCTTTTTAGGTTATCATAAAGCTGAGAGATAACTTCTCCGCCCTGTCAGGGCAGAAAACCAGAAGCATATTTTTCATTGTTTTCCAGTTTCTCACCGCAGAGCCTCTGATCTTTGCCCTGTTTAATGACTGGTTTCCTAGGAGAATATGTTTTTTAACTGAGTTTTAATTATTCAGTGGGTAGCTGAATAATTTTGGTTTCCTTTTTTTTTTTTTTTAATCTCCTCTAGTTTAGGGGCTTCTCAGTAAATATAGAGTAACTAACAGACTTACACTGGAATTGTCTTTACTAGTTTATTGTACTTTCTCTTTAGGATATTTTATCAAAGAAATTCTGACTTCATTTTGTCTCTCTACATGTTAGCCAAACTCATGCACCCTTCAACAACAACAACAAAAATTTATTTCAAGTCATACATTGAATGTTTGACTCCATTGTTAACTGTATCAAAGAGGCCAAAGATAGCTAAGAATGATTATCAATACTGGAGAAACTGAGTGTGTGTGTGTGTGTGTGTGATCTGTTGAGATCAGGCAAGTGTTATTTATCATTTTATAGAAGGATCATCATCGCATTTCTAGTGTTTGAAAACTTGTAATTTGTTTTGGAGTCAAAGCTAAATTCCATCTCTGATTGCTAGAAATAATGCCATATAATATTTTACCTCAATAATTTGGATTTCTAATAATATATGTTCCCATTTTTAAGAATCTGTGTTTTCATTTTTAGACAGGTGCTCTAGTTCACAGCTATAGGGGAACAGGTGGAATTTTTGAAGTTTGCTGGAATGCAGCAGGAGACAAAGTTGGAGCCAGTGCGTCAGATGGTTCAGTAAGTAGAATGAAGTGTTTCCAAGGGGGTGGGTGTGTAAGCGTAGTAAATAAATGTGGCTTATTGTGGTTGCGACTACAAAAGTCTTCTTTTCAAAATACGTATTATGGCATTGATCTTTTTTACTGGAGGTTGTATATTTTTCATGTTTATTTCATTGAAATAATGTAAACAAAATATAGGCTGTGTTTGCCAAAAGAGTATCTTCATAACCAAGAAATGGTTCTTTTTAATGTAAACCTTTGTTAATGAAATTGAGCGTAGAACAATACCACGCTGGAGAGAGGTTTGCATTTTTAATGCCTATTTCTACCTTGTCTTCCTTGCAGAAGAGTGTTGGTGGCCCAGGGCAGGGGGAGTAGAGGCAGTTGAGTCCTGCATTGAGGAATGTGTGATACTGAGAGACTTTCAGGATGAGGTTGGCCAACTCTTTATAGAAATCCTCGTTTTGGCTTCCAAAGCTCTGAAGGCAAAGGGGAAATGGAGAGGGTGTTAGCCATTAGCTGTTTTCTGAAGCTGTAGCTTAATGTAATCTGAGGTCGCTTTCATTTAGGCCCAAAAGCTAGGAAATGGTCTATGTTGAGCATATTTTTTTCTATTTTTTAATTAACAGAGTAGATCTTCAAAATTTTAGCCATGGTTCTTTATAGTGTTAGCCCATAGTGGTTTCCTCCATCTCTTAGACGATTTGTCTGATTTCTCTTGGTTAAGTGCCCAGTGCCATGATCATTGTTGCTTTACCAGTTTTGTGAACTAGAAAGTAAAAATAGATTTCAAACTGTACTATAGAAACGTTAAGCTAAAAATGTACAATGAAATTCTTAACACACTGGTTGATTATTTTAATTTCTTACAGGTTTGTGTATTAGACCTTCGGAAATAGCGCTACTAGTTGGAAGCCATGGACCGACTATGAATGTGTACATAGCCAAAATGACTGTCCCTGACCCATGTACTGCTATAGTCCCACTTGAACCATGGCCAGTCCACTACAGCCAAATCTAAAAGAAATATATACATACAGTGTATATAAACAAAATTGCACCCTGAAGATGACAGAATTTTGTCACAGCCTGTGAATTCTGTTCACCAAGTGCTGGAATCTAATCTGCTGTGCCCCTAAAATAGCATTTAGAAGTTTTGGATATGAAAAACAGAAGAGAGAAAGAAATATGCGTTATAAGAGCAGCCCATATGTGTACCAGTTTTTGGATACTAATGACAGCCTTGTTTCTCCCCTTTGAATCAGAAGACACCATGGATTAGATTCTTTTTTCCCTTCGGTAGTTGAGCAGTTTGTATGTACAGAGAAAATGGACTTACAAAAACTCGCAGCAGTAGTTTGTTCTTGCTTTTAAACTTTGTTTTTGGTTTAGTTTATGGATGCATGAAGTAAGGGAGTGAATCAGTTTCTTGTTTATATTTTTTTCACCTTTTAAACAAAAAATTCTTAAAAATATTTTAATGCATTCTTTTGAAGAGATAGATGTTTGGTACATTTTATGGCTCCCAGAGCATATATTCAGTTGGTGCATGTTGTGGAAGGGGGAATTGGAAATTGAATAAAAACCATATGGCTTTTGGTCATGTCAATCTGTAAGACACATCAGTAAAAGGATATTATGCTCTGTTTTTTTTTGTTTGTTTTGTTTTTTTGTTTTTGTTTTTCTTTTTTTGGTGATGTGGCTTAAATGCAGTAGTTTCTTTTTTGGGACATATTTCTGCCAATTAAAGACTAGAAGGGCACAATTTTTTTTTTTTAATACCATAGAGAAGATGCATAAAAAAAAAAAATCTTCTGATGTTTTGTAGCCATAACTAAATTATGGTTAAAATGTGCACTATTGTGAAAAGGAGCAAAGTAGGTTTGGGGTTTTTTTTGTTGTTGTTTGTTTATTTGTTTTGCTTTGTTTTTTAAGAGATTAAAATGTTTCTGGATAAGGATTAGCTTCTCAAAGTGTCCATCATTCTGTGTAGAAGCTTAAATATGTAATGTAACCAAACTCCAGTATTAAAAATCTCTCATGTTGTTTTTCTTTATACAAAGCAAGATAACGGCATATAACACTGCCATTACATGGCACAATGTTTGCTACCTTAGTTTAAAAACAATCTTTAAAACAAAAGACTTGCTTCAAGGTGTTTTTAAATAGCAGTGATTCAGAATTTTTAAAAAAAAAAAAAGTATAATTGCACTAAGCTCCCTGCTGCTCTTATTCTGCGTTCGTGGTACTTGTGACTACATTTTTTTCAAATACGGATAGATTTAAGCTGCTATTTTTTTTTTCTCAGTAATCACTACTATATCATGTTTTACTCTGTTTATAATATCAAGTATTTTCTGAAAGATATAGGTATCAGAGCAAACCTCTTCTTGTGTTCATGCAACTAGAAGCTAAAATACACAGAATTTGCAAATGATGGCATGGGGCTGTGTTTGTACGTGTGACTAATGGGGTTTGTCATGATTAATGTAAGTATCCACAAGTGTCCATTTTGAAGAGAATAGTCAAATTTATATCTCAAAGATTTTAATTAAGGAGTTGCTTATTATTAAGCTTAGCAAATTTATAACACTATTTCCGTCACTAATTGTTTTGAGACCTTTACTACTAAAATTTTAACCTGTGTTCTAAGTGGAAGTAGAAAGCGATTTAACCCAAGTAACGCAGCTTTGATTTTCAGCATTTGTTGTTTTGCTACATTACAAAACAGCATTGATTGAAGCAAGTCTTGGTTTTACTAAGGTAGGATAGCATTTGCTATTGGTAAAGAGAATAAATACACTTACTTTCACAATACATTGTTCTATGTACCCCAGTTATTGTTAGTGGGGACTATGATACTGTAATAATCTTTTTTAAGACTTCCATGCAGAGAGGCAGTCATTCATGATGGTTTTGTGCCAGCTGGTTTTGGGGTTTGGGATCACATTATAGATATTTAGAACTATTACCCTGTGACTTACGTAGGAAACCTAACATGCTGAGTATCTGGCACTTGAAATCCTGCTTTTATTGCTAGAGGTCCACATCTGTGGTTGACCTCTGTTGTTGTTTAAAAAAAAAAAAATAAATAAAAATTTAAAAATCTGTGCAATAATTTTTAAATGTGCTCCCAGGAATAGACACAAATGTTTTGAGTAGGTTTAAGCTGCATTTTCCTTTAGTGATGCATCTGTCAATTGCACTGAATTTAAATCTGAAAGTCAGAGGTGATTACTGATAGTACTTTTGTATTTTGATACGGACAGTTTATTCGTTTGCATACAGTTACTGACTCGCCCCCACAGCTGATTAAGAGGTAGTCCAGAAGTTCTGCAGTATAGCTACCAGAGCAGACAGCTACACTTTGATGGTATTGTCACCTTTTCTTCCTTCCTTCCTTCCTTTCTTTTGTTGTTGTTGTTTTTTTTAATCTTTAGCTATTTTACGTAAGCATAGTAGCCACAATAGGACATATAAGAGATTATAAACACAGAGCTTTATTATCCTGAAGTCTTGGGTCTCTTAAGTACAAACCTTCCCGGGAGGGTACCCATTCTGTGGGCTTGGGTTCTTTGTGCGCATGCAGTTGCCTGTTTTTGCTGCTGTCCTTGACGTCATCACTGCCTGCTGATGTGCCACGATGCTGCCCCCACGGACGACAGTAAGACTGCCTCTGATGTGAGCAGCAGCTTGACTGTAAGAGACCACGTTTCACGGCCTGCATAATTCTGTATTTGAGGTTCTCGGCTCGTTTTTCCTTCCTTTTTTTTCTGAGTGCTTACTCCTGAAGATCAACTGATTGCAGTGGATTTTCCGTGGTGTTCATTGTGTATCGTTGTATAAGCCACTGTACGAAACTTACAAGGAAAAACAGAAAGGAAAACTTGCATGAACAGAGTACTCACTGATTAAGGTAGAATAAGGAAAGAGCAGCTGTTGCTCTTACACCTCATCCAGGAATAGCCTCTTTTCTTCTCCATGTAGGAAATCCCATACATTCTTGTATCTGTTCCAATCCCCATTTCTATCACTGATCAGGTACCATCATTGACTTTCAAACGACTTTTAGAAGTGGTGACTTTTAATTTCCTAATAGATTTTAGAGTATATTGAATTCTGTTTTAATTAATAATTCTCTAGGTAAGTATGTTTTAGGATTAAACACCTTTTACAGATACTGAAAGTGCCTCCTTTTGTGGTGTAAAAAACAAATTATGGTGCAAAAAGTAATTACTAGATTGAATTACATGAAGGTTTTTTGCTTTTTGACATATAAAAATGTCAAGAGAAAGGCCAAAGATTTGTACTTTTTCACTTATAAAGCACTCCTTTTTTCCTTAGACTTCTTTCTGTCAAATTAGATTTAATGAGAGAGTACTATTTTTAAGGAGCTATCTGTTTATGTAGAATGATTTTGTTAAGAGTAATGTAAACTATTATTGCATAGAGGCCTGAAGAGGAGTATGCATTTTTGCTATTTAAAGGAATCACAAATGACTGTCCTTATGTGAGCAAAAATGTTAAATTATACTAGGTAAGCAGAAAAATAAGTCTCAAATGCAGTGCTGTTTACTCTCTTCAAAACCGTTTTCATCATCTTAAGCACATTGTACATTTCTATAGAACCTGCATTTACTCTCACATGCTAAGGGTGGTGCTTGCGTTTGGTGAATTACTGTTGACTGTTTCCACAGAAATTCTATTTCAGTGGACCAACATTGTGGCATGGCAGCAAATGCCAACATTTTGGGGAATAGCAGCAAATCTACAAGAGACCCTGGTTGGTTTTTTTGTTTGTTTGTTTTTGTTTTTCCTTCTGAATCAGCAGGGATGGAAGGAGGGTGGTAGGGAAGTTACGAATTAACTCCTTCCAGTAGTAGCTCTGAAGTATCACATTAAATATCAATTTTTTTTAACATGATTCTAGTTAAATGTAGAAGAGAGAGAAAAAAGAGGAAGTGTTCACTTTTTTAATACACTGATTTAGAAATTTGATGTCTTATATCAGTTCTCAAGTATTAATAGCATTCTTTTATTTCTGCCTTTACGTTGACAGTGTTGAAGCAGGGTGAATAACTAGGGCATCTTTTTCTTTCCTAGTAAACTGTTTTACGATGTTTTCTTTGGAGTTTCTGCATAAGTTCAAGAAAACATTCTGCATGTTGTATCTAAGTCCGATGTACTTAGCCATCTCATTAAAAGCAAACACAGACTGCATTTTGTGGCTCTGTGACCCCTAAATACAGAAGCAATTTTCTCCTTTCCTGACTTTGACATTGTAGCTATGATGTTCTCATTTTGATTTTGGCAAATCCTTTGGGTCTAATTCTGTGAGCCTACCTATAGCACTGGATTAAAATGTCTGCATCATTTCTTTAGTTATCCAGTTAACTTAAAACTGTTGTAAAAGTGTAAACCAGCCCATGACAGTTTTTTGTACGTGTTAAAGAACGTTCTTGTTCAGTTTTCATGATTCTTGTGTAAGGAAGACTGATCCAGATGTTCTCTGCTGTCCTGGACCATGTTAATTACACTCACGATGTACTTTGGTTCCACATCACAATGATTTGTCCCCAATGACCCTTTTATCCTTTCTAGGCACATTTTTGTTGTTGTTGTTGTTGTTGCGGTTTCCCTTTGCATTGTATTGCTTTGACAACTGTAATTTGAATCAGATCTGAAAGAGGTCCAGAATAAAATATATTTTGATATTATGTTGGCTGTGTACATATATGAAACCTTTGATATCTATGTAGTTTGTATAGACTATTTACTAGTCAAGTAAAGAGAGAGGGATGCTATTTCTTGTTTACAATTTCTTGTTTACATTTTAATTGCATTTACTCCTCCAATGTTCTATTGTAGAATAAACTTTTTTTGCTCTGAGTTAGCCTTCATGACATATAGCATGTCTATTCTCTCCCACACTGGTGTTTAATCAGTTATAACAACTGCCATCAGAACCCAAACCACTGTTTTCCGTAAGTGTGTTGTTTTCTAAGATAGATACTTTAAGCCCATAGATAAAATTACAAATTTTACTATTTTATTACTTGTCACAGGAGATGAGATTTTTTAAATGAAGGGATTATTTACTATTTTTATTAAAGAATAATAGAGCATTTAATCAGCTAAGAAGTAACAATCATTTTCGAATTATTTTGGAAAATAATGCTGTATTTAAAGGACATTGTTCTCACGTAAACTAAAAGAGACCTCAGATTCATTTGAGTTGAGCACAAAACCGTGTGTATATATATGTTGCTGAAGATTTTAGGGCAGGACTCTCAACTTCCTTAGTGACATTTTTTTCTTCATATAAACCTATTCTAATTTAATAGTTTTCTTCCTTAGCTAGTTGCTTATGTTGCTAACAAACCTTATAATCTTTGAAGAACAATACCAGGCACCTTCTGGTTTTAATTAATCCCAGCTCTTAAGAGTTACTTAGAGACATTTTTTCAAAGAATCATTGAGCACATTTTTTGTTTTCTTGGTTTTGGGGGGTTTTTTTGTTTTGTTTTTTAAACTTACATTCTTCAGGTCTTCTGCCTTTCCCTTTCATTTCCTTAAGCGGAAACACAGGCATAAACTTGTCATGTTTTATTAAATGATAAGTTTTTACAGTTGCTAGGACTGTCTGACAGTCTTTCATTTTCAAAGGGTTAACTTTTATTGCATGGCATAGATTAATAATAGTCTGCATTTTACACTTTCAGAAAGTGTTGGACTACTAGGGATTATAATCCGTCTAAAGGTAAAACCAAATCAGTTTCAGTAGTTGTGGAAGGGATTATTTTTAATTTCATAGTTCTTACACTTTGCAGTAGATCAAATTTCTCACCTATTACACACAGCAGCAGATGAAAGTTTACTGTTTCCCCAATATATTCATTTGCGAAATGCAGTGGAGGAAAAGACACTATGGACAGTAGATTTATGGTGCTTTTCTCTGCTGTACCAAAGCTCTCTGTCAACAATGAAATGTTAACCCTATGCTACTTTTTCTGCATGTTTCTTCTTAAATGTCATATCTCAATGCTTATTTGTCCTAACATGTAATATTTTTGTATTAAATTTTTTAGGAGTTCCTTGTAATTTCTTTATAATTTAAAATATATTAAACACAAAGTGTTTAGTAAAGTACAGAAGACAATTATTAATGTTTCTTGGTTGTTGGGTTTGTATGATCACTTATGCAAACAATTCACATTTTAAGAACTAGGATCAGTGGGATGGAATCTACACAGAAAAAGATAATACAATTCTATTTTTTTTTTTTTTTAAGTTGGTGTGATACTAATCCAGTGTCAGAATGGGCTGCTTTAAGAGATACTGCACTACCAAAAATATCAAAAGCATACTTTGGAGGGCCACTGGGCCTGACTACTATAGAGGAATTAAAGCACTGAGGGAATACCTGAAGGAGTCAAACTCTTGCATTAAAAACAGTCACACTGAACTCAGTCTGAGACATTTGAAAACATCAGCTGTCAGAATCTCATACATTCAAATTAAAGGATTTTGAAAAATCTATACACTGTCCAGTCCTCTTCCACATAAGCTCTTATTGACTCAACTTACATACACTACTTGACCAGGTTCATTATCTAATTTTCCAACTTAGGTACCTGAGGAGCAGTATACCTCAGTAGAGGATAGGGAATAGCACATTTAGCATGGATATCATCATAAAGGCCTAGAGTCATCAAATAATTCAAATGAAGTTGAATGGCACATGAAAATGTAGCTATGTATGTTTTAAAATATTTCCATTTAAGTGGATAAAATATTTTAGTGTATGGAAATAAGCTGAAGTATGAAGTTGTGCAAATGTGGTGTTGGAGGAAATGATGTCTTATGATAAATCCAGACTAAATTAGAGGTAAGTAAACTTTTTAACAATGTTGATTAACCAGGAGTCCATTAAAACCCTTTTTTAAAATAAAATACTTGGCCCTACCCCAAACCTACTGGCTAATATGATAGCATAGGGATGTGTGCATTTTTTTGTGCTTGTTTGTGTGTCATAGATGATGGGGGTGGGGAGGGCTGGGGAAGGAAGGGGTTGTGTAACTGGCATACTGTATATTTATTATAAAACACATGCTTGTAAGGAAATGGAAATAAATTTCCATTTCCATACTCCCAGCCAGTTCCTCAGTGGAAACCACTGTTAATGTTTTGTCCTTGCAAACATTTTTGATACTCAAAAAAAAAAAAAAAAATGTAATTGTAGTTTTCACTGATTTCAAAAACTTTTTCACTGAAATCATCAGACTTTTGTCCCACCAAAGCAGGTACTGCCCTATGCTGCAGATGTAGAGTATACCGTAGAGGATCTACGAGCATGAATTCCGCATGATGGCCTCGGTTGAATCCCAACTCCGCTGTGTAACTGTTCGATCTAAGGAGCTATTTTCCTCATTTTCCCATCTGTAAAATGTGATAGCACCTAGCTCATAGATTGGTTATAAAGATGAAAATTGTTACCATACCTAAGCCCTTAGAGAATTGTGCCTGGTTGTGTCAAGTGCACTATATGATGCCATTATTTTGACTTTTAATGGTTGCATTATATTATACACCATAATTTAGCCCCCTATAACGTAGATTTACTTGTTCAGTGTTTCCTGTTATAAACAACAGCACAGTAAACAAATAGTTGTGTATCTGTAAAGACAGATTGAACAGCTGATTCTGATGGACACACACTGGTTAATAGGCACTTACAAAGACTAAAACTCACCATCACCCATTTTCTGCATTGACTGAGTCTTACTTCGAAAGGAGTCCCTTGGGAATTTGTACAAGGGAGATTTCTTGGGAAAAGTTTGTCTATTTACTCAGTGTGCATACAGGAGCAAGAGAATAATTTAGACCAATAAACAACAATCAGGTGACAGGAGTTAGCAGAAAACTAATTTTTAAGCCCATTTGACTAGTCATTAAACATTAGAGGGTATGACTAAGATTGTTAAACATGGAACGTTTCTGCCATAGAGCCAAATACATAAATTAAATCTGATTATAAATGTCACGGAACTACCAGAATATTTAATGACATCTACTAATACTGCTGGAAGCTAAATTCCTAGTCCCTGTGTTAGAATAGCAGACATTCATTTTTTTCTAGGACTTAAAATGCCATTTTTATACATACTACTTTCTTGAGTCTCGGGTCTTCTTTTAAGATTTTCTTCAGCGTATATATATTTGTTGAGTATCTAGAGTATGTCCCAGGAAGTGTGTTTACCACTGAATATATAATAGCAAGAGAAAAATAGGTTCTGCTCTTGTGAAGTATTAGGGAATTAGGTTGAAGAAGCACCTGAACTTGCTGCTACTCAAGGTAGTGTGTGTTGGGTTTTGTGTTTTTTTTTTTTAAGATCTTATTTGGGCGCCTGGGTGGCTCAGTTGGTTAAGCGACTGCCTTTGGCTCAGGTCATGATCCTGGAGTCCCGGGATTGAGTCCCACATCGGGCTCCCTCATTCTCTCTCTCTCAAATAAATAAAATCTTTAAAAAAAAAAAAGATTTTATTTATTTGACAGCACAAGCAGGGGGCGTGGCAGGCAGACGCAGAGGGAGAAGCAGGCTCCCTGCTGAGCAAGGAGCCCTACGAGGGGCTAGATCCCAAGACCCTGGGATCATGACCTGAGCTGAAGACAGACGCTTCACCGACTGAGCCACCTAGGCACCCCTCAAGGTAGTGTGTTTTTAATGGTAGGGAGTACCTAATAGTTTGGGCTGTTGACCTCCTAGACTAGGAGAGCTTACTTGGCTATGTTTGTCCTGGAACACCCAATATGGCTGTGATCCACTTTGCACCTGTAATTACTTGTTATAGGTCACTCGAGGAATAATTGTTATTATAATTTTAAATAGTGTGTATTTTCACCTCCGCTTATTACTTTAAACATTGGCCTTCCTTACCATGAAAGGCAGAGAAATGAAGCACTTTTTCCCTCCTCACTGCAAGAGGTTTGTTTTGATTTTCACTTGTTAATGGTAGACATGTTACTTCCGTTAACAACAGGAACTCATAAATGTTGGAAACTTGTGCCAATCACTGTGTGTGTCTCTCAAACCTCACCCCTGCTAGGTTTCCAAAGGCATTTACACAAGAAACCGTATATGAATCAAAGTACCTCTTCATTAATAGCTACACGAGCTACTGCTACCAACCAGTTAGCTCTCAAGAGAACCTGGTTTGGAGTTTGTGGTTTAGGGCTTTGCTACTCAAAATAGCCCAGCAGCCTCACCTGGAAACTTGTTAGAAGTAATTTCAAATTCCACACAAGGTCCTAATGAATTGGCCAGCTGCAATGTAACAGGATCCCCCAGGTAAATTGTATGCACATGAAAGTTTGAAAAGAAGTACTTTAGGGTCCAAATCAAAATGGAAGATTTTGTACCACATCTCCCTTCCCCACATCTCTCCTGAATTCCCTGAACAACATATCTTGAGACCCCATAACATAGTTGCTGGTTGTGGTAGAGGTAGAGGAAAGGAGGGAGAGGTCCCCAAAAGATACTCCAGCTTACTGATTAAGACAATAGTAAAATGCTTGGTTATTAAAGGGTTCTCATAAAACAGTAATCCTGCCAATCTTAACATCACAGTATCTCAGGCTCTGACCAATCAAATTAACTGGGTGAGCATGGCCAAAATATCCACTCTCTGTGCACTTATGTTGAAGTGGGAATAACAG